GATATCAGCAATGTCTGAGAGAAGAAACCACTGCTGTCTATCAATCTGGGAAGGGCTATGAGGCCATTTCCCAAAAACAGTGTACAGTGAGAAATACTATGCATATATATCCCAGTAAATTCATCCCAAGGTCAGACCATGCAGTGCTAAAAAAAAAAAAAAACTGCACAAAAAACAGAAAGCCACAGCCTCTACCGGCCTCAGTTAGTTTGTTAAATATTAAAATTAGTGGCAGTACAATTAGAAGAAGATTAAACAAGTATGACTAGTTTTTGGAAGAGGTTCCAGGAGGGGTTAAATCCCTCCATACATGAAAGACTAATAAAGTCATACATGAAATATTTAGTTCAATTCCATTCAATTTTATTTATACAGCGCCAATCCACAGCAACAGTCACCTCGAGGCACTTTATATTGTTTGGTAACAATAACACACAGAGAAAAACCCAACAATAAAAATGACCTCTTATGAGCAGGCACTTTGGCAACAGTGGGAAGGAAAAACTCCCTTTTAACAGGAAGTAAGCAGGCAAGTAAGCAGAACCAGGCTCAGGGCCGGCCATCTGCAGCGACCAGTTGGGGAGAGAAGGAAGACATGCTGTGGAAGAGAGCCAGAGATTAATAGCAGTGCAATCAATGCAGAGAGGTCTATTAACAAGAGAAAGGTGATTGAAGAAGAAGTACTGGGAATCCCCCAGCAGCCTACACCTATTGCAGCATAACTAAGGGAGCATTCAGGGTCACCTGATCCAGCCAACTATATGCTTTAGCAAAAAGGAAAGTTTTAAGCCTGATCTTAAAAGTAGACATAGTGTCTGTTTCCCGAATCCAAATTGTAAGCTGGTTCCACAGAAGAGGGGCCTGAAAGCTCAAGGCTCTGCCTCCAGTTCTACGTTTAAATACTCTAGAAACAACAAGTCCAGAGTCCCCCAGTCCAAGAGAGAAGGGCTCTAATGGGGTGATATGGTGATACTATAAGGTCATTGGGACTGGTTATTCAAGACAAGGATTTTGAATTCAATTCTGGATTTAACAGGAGGCCAGATATATTTACTGTTTCACACAAACTCCTCATTTATGGGAGCACTGTCATCCTAGAAGGGGATCACTCCCATCAAGTGACTCGCTACAACAGTGATGCTCCCATCCAAGGAGGCAAGTGGGCCCATTCCATTACAGTATAATATTCCCACGCTGTAGTTCTCAAGTATTTGCAAATACATTACATTAGTAAAGAGGCCAGTACAGCAGCTAGCCTGGTTTTACATTAACAGAATCATATACAGCCAGTTCATCCCAGGTTACAAACTGCATGAGGGATTTTGCAGTCAAGTCGTCTCTGCATTTAAACCATTCTTATAAACACACAGATTTGGGTCACCAATAGCACTGAAACATCAGGACATTTGTATATAAAATGAAACCTCAAACTGTGGATTTATTTTTCTATTGTACTGTAATTCTTACATTGGTTACACTCAGAAAAATAATCCTGCCCCTGTTAACTTGATATTATATTTATATACACTCAGCCACTTGGTTAGCATTGCTATGACTTTGTTTAAAGCCTGATTGTACATTGTGGCCATAGCAGAGACCGCATAATGTGCTTTGGTTAAAAGTGTAAATTATAAGAGACCACAAATGTATTTTTTTTTTTAATGATTCATTGTGGTGTATGTAATATCCATGTGTGTTTTCCCCAACAAAGAGAGGTTAACATTTACAGTCAGTTCAGAAATCATTCATACCACATTTAATATTTGAAAGCTTAAAACTTTTTTAAAACTTCAAACTAAAAGGAGGAAGAAGAAAGATGTAGAAGTTGGAGTGGGTGGAAAAAGTCTGTGACAAACTGTGGGAATGACTCATTCAGCCCCAAATGTACATCGTCTAATGAACTTACACACACACACACACACACACACACAAACGCACATAGACAATACGTCAGCCACGATAACTGCTACTGCAAGAGCACAAAGTCACAGGGCCAGAGATGATGTCAGCCATGTCATGTGTTTCATTTCCCTTTCTATAATAAAGCTCCAAATGCTGGTTCCTATATCAGAGTAGTAAAAGCTTACATCAGCGCTCTGGTTCAAGAGTCCTGACGGATTTTACCTTGGACTTTGCATTTAGGATGTGAACTTTTTAAACTGTTAAAGGGGAGGGAGTCAAAGTTTACACAGAAATAGTTCATATATCCCACATTAGTGGGAAATTTTCAAGAACAACCATCGTATACCATCATATACCTTCATCTGCCAACAAGGCAGATATTACACACACACTTCCTTAACAACAACAGTAACATCCGCATACCAGGCAACCTCTACGAATATACAGTATACACCGGGGTTATCAGATGCCACTATGGAAATTTCACACAGAGCGTGATAAACTGAGATGCAAAATTCAGTGTAGTCAAATTGAACAAGCCCCCCCCCCCCCCATTTCCCTGCATGTTTGTTCCACACACCTTTCATCACTTGTCTTTGCAAATAACTGCTACTATAATTTACATACCCGCTCAGCTATTTAGGACATGTTGGTTTAACCCAACATGAGCTGCCTTGTGTGAATGTACAAACTCCAAACAGTTACTTCAAGTACGCCAAGATAAATCTGTCCCTTTCGTTTTAACTGCAAACTGTTATGTTCTCTGACCTTTTGGCCTCTTGGTGAAAGAGAGCTGCTCTCTCACTATCCAGTTCCAGGTCTCCCACACACACAAACACACGCATACACGATTGCCACAGCTCAGCAGCATTTTGCTCATTTAAGTAACTGCCTATACGGCTCCAGCAGCCAGCGCTCCTCACTGTTTGGCCACTGGGCTCTAAGATGTGTGGTTGCTGGAGCTGTGCTGTTCAGTGTAACCTAAAGTGATCTTTGGAGTTGAACTGTGGCAAGCCTGTGGGACCTGTCATGCTCTGTTGCTCTGTGTTTAAGGAAACCAATCTGTATGTTAGTGGAAGTTTGGTAAGGGTTTGCTGTCATTTTATGTACACAACTGTTCTCCTGTTTTGTGGCCAGCCAGAGCACTTGGGCATTGTATTTTTGTTTCAACACATAGCTCAGTGTTTCTTCTCATTCTAGTAAGAATGGGGGATTTTACTTGCTTTGGCCCTAGAACCCCTGGTGTCTATTTGCTTTCCTTTTTCTACTTAATTTAATATTGTAAGATAGTTGTAAATAAATTCTTTGTTTCCTATTCAGTAATCTTTCTTGGAGATTTATGGTTATGTTACAACTCAGCTTCTAGGTGAGGCGTTGTAGCACAAACTCAAATATATTTACATACATCATGTACATGGCGCTGAGCATGCCTCTAAGCCCATTTAGCACTAAAGCCCAGAAACCTTGGGTAGTGTTTGCAGGGGACTCTAAAAATATCTCCTCTAAAAACTGTATTTGCATACACTGAAGTTTCTGCAGGAGCACATAATATTCATCAGGTTAGATGTGTCATAAATACAAAGCACCTGCAGTGAACTGAAAAGGTATACTCTGCAGTTCAGTATGTAGTAATTTAGGCTTAGAGTTAAAGCAGGCCATAGTTTGTCATCTCGTTCTGTTCTTGACAGTCTGATATTGAAAAGGTTTGCTACTTAAAACTGTGAGTTTGCTTTCCCTTTGTGAAGTAACAACCTTACATATAATCCATACTGGAATAATATGATATTTATATCGCAACTGATATGCTTCATGTAAACTGACTGGTTGCAGTTTGCATATTTAAAAAAAATACTGGGAGTAGTAAAAAGCTTGGTTACATTTAGTTGAGTTGAACTGATCAACTATAAATTTTATTTTTTTATGGTCAAAATGTTATAATTGGCTTACGAGGCAAATGAGAAGAGAAAAGAAAACAATCACTTATACTTACCAGAATATCTCTTAAAAAAGTACAACAGCAGTGACCTCAAGGTGGTTTATATTGTAAGATAAAGACCCCACAATATTACAAAAACAACCCCTTATGAGCAAGCACTTGTTACAGTGGGAAGGAAAAACTCCCTTTTAACAGGAAGAAACCTTTGGCACAACCAGTGGAGGATATCTGCTGTCACAGTTTGGGGGTGGTTAGTATTGTTTAAATAATGCAGTGTTCTCATGAAAGCCTACTTTATACTGGTTCCTGGAAAGATTAAATCACATAAGCAAACACAAAATACAGGCAGAGTTAAGGGCTGTCGGAATATCTTCAGTCAGCAAAAACAACCCACACTATTATTTCCTTCTTCACCGAGCTAAGATAAAGATAGAAAAAACTAAGAAGGAGATTAAAAAAAGGATTATTGGGACATCTGATTTCCTTGTGGTTTATGTGTAACATCCGACAAAACGGATTTACTGTAATATCAAAGTGGAAACTAGGCAAATAATAGATGAGATAAATTTGTCAAACATGCATATCTATGTTATGAGTGAGTGAAAGCTACCTGCTCAGGGTGTTGCCAGCCTTTTATCTCAGCCACCGTGTTGAAAGAGTCAGCATCAGGAAGGGTCTTGGCTCCCATGGTGAGTTTGACCACAATTTTCTGACCTCTTTGTGCCATACGCCACATCAGCTCAGCATCCTCCACAGTGATGCAGGCTGTGGGGATGCGCTTCACTCCGTCTTGGTAGTCCTGCCAGCCTGTGTGAGGACTACACAGGAAGTGATAAAGACAGAGATGTATGTAATATACCAGTGACAAAGTGACACTACAACATTTCTAGACAGTCAGATAGCTGGACACTTGGAGAAGACAGATATACCTGTTAATAGAGAATGGAGTGACTGATCGAATGAGTGTAGCCACAGCTCCTGCTTTGGCTGCCTCAGAGGCACCATAAGCACGGTATGCCACTGTCTCTCCATAGCTAACATATGGCTGGTTAAAAACCACAATCCTTCCTGCGGCCTCAGTGGCTCGACGCTTCAGTTCCTCAAAAGACTGAACTACCAACACCTCTGCCTCAATACCTGCAGGAATAACAATCAATCAGTGAGCAGTAAAGGAGAAACAGATGAAATGAAAGCTGTTTTATACGACTATGGTCTTTACCTTCAGGGGGTGTTCCTACGCTGCTACCCAATCCCAGTATAGCCAGAGTCTTGGCTCGAGGAGCAGTCATCTCTGCACTCTCCTTTCCCCGTACCCAGTGTGGGATTTTTACTGGCTCTAGATAAGACAATTAAGCTATGTTTATATTCACCAGAAATCAGCTGGAGTTCCCGTACGTTCTGAAACACATGTTGGATAAAAACTGTAAAACTTACCCAGGTGTACATCCAACCCATCCTGCACCATGGCATTGTACATGTATTTAATAGCCATCTCCAAGTTGTTTGAGCCACTGACACGGTTTCCTATAGTGTCAGTAAAGTCTGCGAGCCGTCTGTAAGAGCGGTTCTGGGCAGCACCGAACACAGCCAGGTCAATGATCTGTTTGGCCACATCAGCATAGCCTGCTACCTCAGCTGCAACCCCAGCTGGGATCATGCAGAGACACACAACAAGAACATATCAAAACACTGTGAAGGCTTGCAAAGACTGTTCCAGTTCCACCAGTTTGTTCAGGTACACTGTTGTCATTGTAACTCAGTACATAAATCCCAACATTAAAGTGATCAAAGGATCCAAAGTAACTGGAAAAAAATGCATGGGTACAGAAGGCATTTATTAGCATTAATTATAAACTGGTTGTTTTAATAAAGGCCTTACTCTCTCAGAGTTTGGGTTACCTCTCTTTGCAGTATCATTGGATAAGACTCTGACAGCAGATCCTGAATTTATAGTTTGTGCAGAGTGGGGATGACCATCACAGAAAGAGGATAGGTTGAGAAACACATTGAGGGAGAGGAGGATACATAGTGTCCCCTTCCAAGTCATCTGTGAAAAGAAAATATCAGTGTGTTGTTGTCAGTTGATGTTAAATTGCTACTAAATCCTCCTTAAACCTCACACACACTGCAAGTATCCTCTCATCTTAGTACGAACTAAAAAGCAAACATGCATCACTCCTGCTAACACAGATAATCTAGCAGATATGATTCAAACAGGCAATTCACAAAGACACTTACTTTGCACTACAGCAGGTATTTTCTATTTTTGATATGCGAGTGTGTATATGTAAATGTATAGGCATGTGTTTGCATATGTATATGCAGTTGTGGTATAAAAAGCAGGCATAAATTAATCGTAGTTTTGGGCTTTTAATTATTTTTTTTCAACTGTGCTCTTTGCATAGTGCAATGATTGCACAAGAACTTGGTTGAATTTATTTTGGATTTTCTCTAATCCACACAGGGTCAAAAACAAATATACAGGCTCTACAGTGTACTTTAACTTGACCGGGCCAAGGCCTATTAACTTCTCATTAGTTATCATGATTGACTTCAAATTTTATTTTCTCTTTGCAACAATAGAACTACTGAACTTCCAGCATGACTGTGAAGTAAGGTTTTAAATTGCTATGGACCGAGAGGGTACCAACTAAGAAAAATGCTCCAAAATCAACATCTTCAAGCTTAACTGAAATTTGCAGTTGCCCACATGGACAAGCCAAATTCCTTCTGGGGAAAGGTTTTATGGTCAGACGAGACAAAGATTGAGCTGTTTGGCAACAATGACCTAGGAACACTTTACTAGCTGTGAAGCACGGTGGTTGTAGCGTCATACTCTGGGCTGTTTGCTGCCAGTGATACTGGTTAACTGCGCAAATTGGATACAATAATGAAGGAGGACTACCTCCAGATTCTTTAACTTCACCACAAATCAACAGCTAGACAATTGAAACTTTTGAAACAATTGCATTTTCCAACAGGACAATGATCCCAAACACATATCAAAACTGGTTTTGAAATGGATAAAGTATGCTAACATTAAGCTTCTGGAATGGCCTTCTCAAATCCTTAACCTTACTGAAAATGTTTAGACTATTCTTAAAAGCCAAGTACAATACAATACAAGGAAAACAACCAATTTAAATTAAATCTACAAATTCTGTCAACAATAGTTTCCAAATAACCAAGCCAGAAACTTGTTCACGATTACCAAAAAAACTACCATCCGGTCAAGGTGTGACTTGCTAAGGGACATTTAACTAAACCTGTATGTATACTTTTTGGCCCATTTGGATTAGAGAAAATCAAAAATAATTTAATACTTGTGCACCCGTTTCTTGTTTTTTTTTAACCAATTACCATGACATTCGTCCCCAAGATGATGTATATGTGTAAATACTTCTTTTTGGTATCTTACTGGGTTTATAAAACCAAATATATGCGGCAAATTTTAAACAAGGAATTATGATAGGAAAGGACATAAACAGGAAGTAAAGTGATAAATACAAAACAGTGGAGAAAGGGTGGTATTAAATAAGTTTATGCTTATTCCTACTCCTTTTTTCAATATGTTAAGCCATGTATTTTAGTATGCTTTTTGCATATATTTTTTAGATATTCGAAATTAAGCCTTAAGCAAGAAAAGCTACGCTACCTATTACTTTACAGTACTACACTATACGTGAATGGCGCTTTATTGGAAACGTTACGCTATCCCCAGTTATAGTTTTACTTTCACTTTAGGATATTACAATTATACTTTATTTCTTAGTAAATGTAGCTTGACACCACAATTGTTAAATTATCATATTAACACAGACGGCTTCATTCTCATTTTAAAAAACAAACACGATATATAAAAAAGTATTGCAACACAGACGAATAGAGAAGGACAGAAACGTTACAGCGGTTTAAACATTTCACAGTAACAATGAGCGCAAAACTCGCTTCTCCATAAGAGCACAAACCCTTCGAGTCAATTCAAAGTCTTTGGTTTTGTTGACGTTGCAGGACTTCGTCCAGTTTTAAGGATATGCCAAATACACAAATACCGCAACGTAAACAGTTCCGTACTCGTGATTACAACCTGCATAGCGCACTTCCGGTTTGTCTTATTTCATAATAAAAGCGTTATACTTACCATAACAATAGTTTTGTTATGCAGGTATTAAAATATGGTTACACACACATATATATATATATATACAAACAAAAATGGGTATTAGCTAAGCCTATGAACTACTAAATTCGTTAAAGAATAAACCACACCCAGCCCCCCACTCTCCCGTTTTCCCCTCACAAAACTAAAATAATTCAATGAAACCGATTAGTATGCAACAACTGGAAATTAATAGTTTCAATAGTTCATACAAAACGATTTTTGTTAAAATTACCCCTCATAAGTAGTATAGTCTATTCACATTATGGACATTATTACTATTATGCTCACCAAGCTTTCAAATATGTAAAATATGTCGGACATACAAAGATTAAGGAACTCATCACAGACTCTCATGGCCAGCGCTTCCACATAGAATACATAATCAGTGTTTCGGTTCACAATTGACCTGCTGTTCAGCTGTGCATAAATGATACCTTTCATGAGTAACTAACATGCACACAACAATAAATATTATGTTCCAGCATAAATCAGTGTTTAAGTACCCAAACCTGCAATTGCACGTTATTCCAAAACTGACATTTCAAAAAAGATGCTCTATTTGTCTGTGAAGCTTTTGAGAAAGCTTTGTCTACCTTTCTTTAACATGTGTTACAGGCTGTTTTGGGTTCACATCTGATCTGCTGTTCAACCATTTGAATGCACAGAAGAAATTGAAAGTTTACACACAGAAAAATACCACTACTGAATGAAACAACACAGCTGTATAGAAGAAGTGTATCAATCTCACTTTTGGTATTATGTCAAGAAAAAGGAACTGCCTATTTAGAAACTATTTAAAACCAAATGCTAAATCACGCACTTCTTTTTATGAGTCTTCTCTTAGTCACCCTTCCTTATGCAAACAATGTTATGGTTAAAATGATGCCCAGTGCTAACAGTGTATTGTGTGCTCACTGTGGGAAACACAGCACATCTCAATCTGTGGTTTTTATTTCTCATCTTCCACTCCCACTGATCTTCTGCATTCCTCACCACTCATAGATATTCACATCAAGTGCCCCACCCATGTCAGATTCATATTAATTTATTTTATTACACTTTACTACCACTTTTATGCTATTAACTTATGTGCATGGCTCTACTTTCTATTCCTGCTTCTTTTCTACTACAGCCATCTTCTGTATACATTAAAAAAAAAAAAAAAAACCTTTGGTGCATCCACATGTTCTCCTTTTGTTTCTGAAGATCTTTAAAAACATCTGACCATATGACTCATTTCACATGCTGCTGACCTGGTTTGATATTGCAAACCTTTTTCTCACTTTTGCCTGCCTTTGTAAAGGGATGTTTGTTGAGACTTGATGGAAATGCTTTGCTCTACATTTCAGGTCAGCTGAACAAAAGCAACAAATAATAGCTTTTACCTGCAGCTGAATGTTCACTTTTTGGTTTTGTCTCACACAATAAAAACAAAATGCAAATCTGTGATAACACGTGGGCTTCAAAATGATGCCCAGAAGGTGCTTAATTAACAAATAAACACAAAGATCGTGTCCTTGAAGAAGTTAGATGAAAAGGTGAATAAACAGCACACATAATATTAAACCTGTCGTATTGATGTGTGTATATAACGGGGGGTGGGAGCAGTATTGTTGAGAGACAGAGAAAAAACAGCCACTGCATTAAAGCCACAACTTTTATTCATTAGTGAACCTCATGAGATACACCAGCAACAAAGTTCTCTATTGGTCATCTTGGTAAGTTGATAATTGGCTGCCCCTCATACCTGTGTAGTTTATTTCTAAGAACCAGGATTTCAATCAGCTTCGATAAAAAATAAAACTGCAACATGTCTCCAATAAACTTTCTGTACTTTTATAATTTTTAGAAGCATTCATATAGAAAAAGGACTTTTTAAAAAAAGCTAGAAAATCTTTTAAAGAAACTGACAATAATCTAAATCTAATCAAATGCACCAAGATACAAATGGACATATAAAACTCAAGCTGAAGGCACAAAGAGGCTTCAACCACCAGTAAATACTGTACAATCCCAATAATGACTGACATATTTACCTACATTGTAGTCTAAGTATAAATTATTACATAAAAATCATATATTTTATATATAATGCATGTAGATGATAGAAGAGAAAAGTTATTTTGTCTTTGCCAACAAGTGCTAACCTGTGGTATTAACCCTCTGGGTTTGTTTTTGTTTCAGACAGAAGTTGTTCTTCAATCACACTGGCATAGTAGATTTTAACTCCAAACTTGCAGTTCTGTACAGCTCACAGTTCAAAGTATGAAACTAATACTGCAACTGCACTGCAAAGGATATAATGTAACATGAGGCACTGAAGACTCAACAAATGTCACGTTATCAACAAAGAGTCACCGAGGTGGGTTAATGACCACATCTTCCTGTTTATTCTATGCACAGTGAATAGGTAGCTTGCAAATGTATTCAAATGTACTACTTGCTTTAAAATATTCATTTTTATTATGACAAACAGTAAGCACTGTTCTTTGAAACATTACAGGCAGTAAGTAGCTGGTTAAAAAGCCATAAAAAGGCAAATTCCTAATAGGTTTATGAAAAGGGTCTACACACTTATGTGCTGTCCAAAGGGAATAGAACCCTGTTGTCGTTATCTGCTTTGTGCATCTTCATTGGAGCCATAAAACATGCTATGCTGCTCTTGTTGCTTGAGGTAAAGTCTGAAAATCAGGAAATACATGTGTCAAACCAAGCACGTTGACGCTTAAAAGAAACAGATTAGAGTTAAACAGACACAATTAACAACTCTCTAATCCTGCTAAGTTGATAAACTCTAAAGTGTAAAAGAGCAGTAAATGCTCTCACTGGCCTTTAAACCTTAAACCAACTATTATAGCTTTATACAGAGGACAGCGAGAAAGGAATGCGCTTTGGCTGTTGTTAGAAAACCTTGATCGCGTCTATGGTTTCTGAATTATAGTCATTAGCTTTGACTCCACCTGTCCACACACTTGCAGCATTCAGTTACCAAAACCCCCCCCAAAAGTCCTGAACATATTACATGTGTTCTAAAGATGCCTGAGGGAGTTTTACTAAGGCTGCCACTGTATGAAGTCAAAGACAAATTGCTTAAAAATGGCTTACAGAAATATAATCTCTAAACATTAAAAAAAAAAACTACCACAAATTTTTTTAAATTTTTTTTTTTTTTACAAACAACAAAGCGTATCTATATTTGGTCAGTTCTGTAAGTGCCTGTGTGACAACAACAAACGTTTGTACCTGCAAAGTAACAAAATCTCTCAATGCAATACTGGGCAGCATATGAAAATGTTCATTCATGTAACCCCCCTCCCCCGCCCCACACAAAAACTAAAACAAATCAAAGAAAGCATACAGAAAGTAAAAAGAACACAGACAGTTTTTAACACAGAAAAAACAAAACACAAAACACAACCTGACCTCAGAGGAAAGGGAAAAAAAAGTGTCAACTTTTTAAGGTCCATCTTAATACTATTCTTATACAGAATATAGTACCAGGCTGAACTGGGCTGGTTCAGCTGTACATCCATCAAAAGGAGCAATCAATTTCTGGGTCACACAGAATCAGCTCTTGTCCAGCGTAGTTCATCTTAGGTCTAAAGGCACAGCATCGGATCGTTTCACACTGACGACTCTCCAACACTACAATGATCCACTTCAGGATTTCATTCTTAAAACTTTGAATGGGTATTTACTCCTTCCTTAGCATGGGATGACAGGAAAGCATTTTAACAGTTTGACTTTATTTTATTATGAGCCCTTTGTCACAAACACTGAACATTAAGTAGAAAGATAAAGTGGCAGCGGATGAAGTTGGGAATGGCGAAGAAAAAAAAAAAGACAAAGAACAAAGAAGCAGCACTGGAGAGGAGCAGAGGTGTCTACTTCAAACTTCATCAAGAAGAATCATCTTCAGCTGGTTATAGATCCATTTGAGTCTTAATAGGCAGGAGCCAAAATCCACCCTGCTTTGTTCTTATTAGTCAGTTCAGGCGTAGAACTCCTTGGTGGGTGCTTTGTGATATGCAGTTGCAGAAAGTTTGTTATCTCCAAGGTCGTAGCTACCTTCATCCTTCTTCTTCATGCGGTAGGCAACGAGAGACAAGAGGGAAACAGCACAGAGGAATCCAATGACTCCGCACACTATCACAGCTGGAGACGGAAAAAAGAAATACGAAATTATTTTTAAAAAATAACATTTTTATCACAGTTATCTATACTTAACATTTCAGATTCTTCAACAGAAGTCTCAATTTTCTTGAAAACTCACTACTGTAATTTTGTAATGAACTGGTAAGACAGTAGAAACCTAGTCCTTACCTGCTAGCACCTCTTTTCTCTCCAGCAGGTTCTCAGAGGATACCTCCATAGAGTTCTCACCAAATAATCCATCTCGATCAGCTTTGGTAAGAGTTTCATCAGACCTTTTGATAGGCTCTTCATATTGGGGATTTAACACATCCAGGCGTCTCTCCTTGCCAGAATTGATTACACCATCAGCTCTAGTACTGCCCCTGGGAGGCACATTGGTGGTGCTGGGACTAGCATCCTTTCCAAACCAGTCAGCTGTTGGGCCAACACCAAGCCCCTATAAGGATATTAGCACAGTTTAAAAAAAAAAAAAAGCTGAGACATTATGTGGCTTTAGATACTTTCCATTTACCACTATTCACACCTTAAAGCGGTAGTAAATAAATCACAATTAGTTTCTCTGCTCCAAAATTAATCAACCTTAATATTTACTCTCACTATCACCAATTGAAATTAAAAGAATAAATATCCTTGTGTGTGCAATGAATCATCCTGAAGATGGACATAAGTCAGACTTCATGAGGACATGAATCAAAAGGAACAGTCATACTTTACCTTGTCTCCATCAGCGAAAATGTCAGTCTCCTTCGCTGTAGTTGCTGGATCGTGGCTGCGTGCCACTG